ATGTGCATGTGTTATATGTTTTTGAATATGTGGCTATATGTCTGTGTATGTTTGTGTATATCTCTGTATGGCCTGCATACAGTGGTGTTTAGCTAAAGTTCGGGTGATGCTGTTAGCTATTTTCTATGTTCTAAGCACAGGGTGTTTCAAGAATGTGCATGATAGAGAATGATTTCAGAAGTGCTGACAAGATTGTGAGGAAGAGGAAGGGATGGGACACAAAGAAAGAAAGAGACGAAGACAGAGTGAGACAGACTTAGAGAGGACGGGGACACTGAGGAATGAGCCCGGTCACTCAGCATTTGTTCCCTCTGAGATCTTTTATTTTATGTGTGTCCCCTGCCCTATTAGGTTTCTTCCCCGTTTTTCTTTTCAAGTCAAGGAAACAGAGCCGCTTGCACCCTCCATGTGTGGCTATCTGTATCCTCATTCTGGGTGGGGCTTATTTTATCTGCAAGAGGACAGGCATGCCAACCAAGGTATCAGCTGAGAAAATGCCCCATTAGTTCAGGCACAATGTCAGTCCATGGCTCTGGGGCTTCTGGAGGGGAGATAGGAATTTCCAGGGCAAGGGCCTGCTTAGCCTAATAGCATAGGGGATGGAGACTTCTTGCTGTAGACTCTGGGAGGAAACCTCTTGTCCTGCATCCATCCTTCCTGCAAAGGGACATGATACCGCCCTTCTGAAATGTTTCCTCTCTACTTGTATTTCCTTTAGTCAGATCTTCCTATTTCTGAGGCATTAGTCTCTCTTTCCAACTAGACTCTGCCCAGTATTTCCTCCAATGAAATCTTCTGACCCATACAGTCTACAGTACCTATCCTTCAGTGGAATTCTTCTAGATTAGGTGTCTGTCACCTCCCACATACCGCAGCATCACAGGAGTGTGCCATGGTTCCACCCTTGGCGCTGGGCACTTTTAATCCAGAGGATCCATGCATTAATTCTCTTGTCAAGCATGGATTCCTTTGGTGCCCAGCAAAACAGTCTCTAGGAGCATGTGGTCTAGGGAAACAAAGCAGAGTTGCTGGGCAGAACAGATACCTACAGGTAGCTAAATCTACAAGGCCTGGCAACCACCAGTCTCTAGAGACAAAGTGCAGGAGATGTTGAAGTCACAGTTTCAAGGACTTGAACAAGCAGAGAAAGGAACCCCTGCAAAGGGATTTTAAGCTTTTGCCAATGTTGACTCTCTAGGTTTCTCAATAATAAAGAGATGTGGAATGGATTAGTCTACAGATACAGAGAGAAGTTGTGTTTATTCGGTGACTAGTTGGGACCTAAAACAGTACTTGATAAAAGCAGAAAGCCCCTTGCCTGGACATGACCACATACAACTGCAAGGGATGCTGGGAAATGGTCTCCACTTGGATTCCTGTGTTGGCAGATAACCACAGTTCTTTGTCTCAAATAATAAGAAAGGGGTAAAGGACTGGGAGAAATTCCCTTCCATGTATGCATACCTAGAGCTAGTATATATTTGTTTACTTATTGTGTGTCCATGCACACGTGCGTTATGTGTGCATGCATGTGCACATGTGGGACTCAGAGGGCAGCTAACAGGAACTGGTTCTCTTCTTCTACAATGTGGATCACAGGGATGGAATTCAGATTCCCCACCATGGTGGCCAGTGCTTTTTACCCACCGAACTATCTCAGATGGCACCAGGATCTGTTCTTTGAAAACATCCACAAGAGCAGCTTTCTTGGGAAACCTAAGAGTGCTGTCTTTTACATCACTGATGGGGAAACTCCTTTCTGTAGAGACAGACTGGAAGTGTTTTAGGCCAGAGGTCTCCATTCCAACTTTTCAGCTCAGCCACAGCAGTGAGAGAGTGTGGAAGGCAAGCTAAGCAAAGACTCCAGCCAGGAAGATTTAGGGATGTCAGATGCATGAGTCATGACTTGTTGACCCTTTATCTCCAGGGATTATCTATAGGAAGAAAGACAGGATTACTCAGGAATTTAGCTTAAGTAAAATGAAATGATGTAAAGAATTAGACCTGCTAAACCTCAGACCAGCTGTCCACCTCCGGTTAGACACCTTCTCAACTATGACACCAACAGTGATAAGCAAAATTCTCAAAAGTCACTCCAGGTTTTGAGCGTGATGTGACTAGAAAGATGACCGCAAACTTGCTCTCCCAAGTGTGACTTCCTCAGCCCTGAGAACAGAGCTGGCAGGGCTACTGATGCAAGATTTCCCAGTTCCAAAGGTTTACAGAAATGTGAAAGATAAAGCATATTGTGGCAAAAATAATCCCAATAGCTCCATGGAAACACCTATTTTAGGACTGCTTTCTTGAACATGAACTCAGAAAGAAAAACACATTGTGCAATCAACAGCATGTCATTTAAAAAAAAAAAAGGAGCTAAAAACACTTGAAATGTGTGAAATAAATACAGCTGTTGATGTCCAGCAATGCACAGGACATCTATGTCCTGCCACATACACAAGTATGCTCTACAGAATCTCAGCACACCCTGACATGCAATGGACACTGTACAATACACATGAGTAGCTCCTGGCCATTGTATATTTGCTATCTGGAGCAGCTTTGGGGAGGACAGACAAGATGGTGTGGATGGCCAGTCTGCTGACCACCTGTCTAGAACTGATCCCAGTGAGGTCATTTCTTATAATAAACCTGTTTCTGGGAGGTTCTCATGGAGTCCCCTTTGCTAGTATGATTATGTTAATCCCACAGGTGTGAGGACAAAGACCACCGACCCAAATCTTGGCCAAATTAATTAAAGCAAGTAATGAATTAAAGCAAACCTTTTTATTCATGTATACAGGCTGTCTCTCCCTAAAAGTGGGGTTCAAGAGATCAGCACTGGACATGGGTAAGATAAGGGTTTTTATAGTTCAAGAGTAGGCGGTTCCCAAATAGGGGATTTGGCAGATAGATACCTGGGGCTACAGAAGCTGAGCATACGCTTAACAGGTTGATCATAACCAACACCTGAAACGTAGACATGGTTGCAAGGCCATCGCAACAAGGTGGACATAGCAAGATGGTCACAGTAACCTTTTGAAACAAAATCATTGTTGCCGTTATCTGAAAAAGGCAGTACAGAGCCATTTGTAGTTAAGGTTACAGGTGGGGCATAGCCCAATCCTTGAGAAA